GCTAATTTCTAAGCCAATGAATGAAGACAGTACAGGTTTGTAAAACTAATTTCTTTTGTTCTTATTTTTCTCTTCTTTTTCAGTGCATACACATTTCCTTAAATAATTATTTTGATTTACACTTTTGTTTTCTCTCTGACTTTAAAAGCCTGAAATGTGTCTCCTGTTACAGATGCTCAACGAAGTAATTACCTTTGTATTATATTTAGGTGTTACAAAAAGCCCAGTTGGGAAGGAACGAAGATAGACAACAGTGCCTTTATTAAATTACATGCCTGCTCCCTGCAGAATGATTGGAAGACCTGCAAGCACATACTATGCCAGTGCACAGTCTACCTGTTTGTGTCATGACAGACACCATTAGTCTTGAATCTATACATGCACATACATATATAATCAGAGTTTCGTCTCCAGCTCTTCTTTGCTGTTCTGTCAGGTAAGTAGCATGTGATCAACCCAGAAATGTGTGGCCAAACTAGCAGAGCCTAGGCCACCCTCCTCTGCACAAGAACCTCTCCACAGGGTCACACCAGGGTCTGTGCAGCCCTCAGGTACATCATACAGCAAAAATCTAGGAAAAAGCAGAACAGGGAAAGCATATACACTGTGGTATTCCCACTAAAATATCTCCCTGCTGCTGAGCAGTATGTGGGTTACTGACTTTCCCTGCCAGACATGGGATCTACCTGGTAGACCTTCCTTGCACAAATTTGCTCAGCCCTTTTCTGAATACTTTACACTTTGGCCACCACAATGTCATGTACCAACAAATTCTAAATGTGCTTGGTGAAAAAAGTGCTTGCTTCTTCCTTATATCTGTATTTTATATGTATCTGCCGCTTGATATAGATTCTGGCATAACTGCAGAGAACAACATACAGGAGGTAAGCAAGCTATTAAAGCCAGTGACATTCACTGGCTTTCCCATTTTCTACAGCATTAACTTACTATCAGCATCTCAACACCAGCCCTGCAAATGATTTCATTACTGAACTACCTAACAAGAATCTATTCACCATAATGAACATCTCTTACCAGATTTTCCTCTGCACGTCACAGGGACATGAGGGTAACTGCACCGTCGTACCCACAAGGTTTCAAGCCAGCCTAGTAATCTCTGCTGTGTGTTTGAATTGAATTCAGTAAGAGTTACACCATCAGTTGCCATACAGCCTAAATTGAGGCTTTAACCTCAGTTTGCACAGGGCTAGTCCAGGCTTAGTCCAGCTGAGACAGCTGTACATCAGTGTGCAATCGCTGCGGCCCTGGAGCCATCTGGGTAAGAACTACTTCTGCCCAGCATTCTTCTCAGCAGTACCATGTTGCCCTTGTTGTACAAAGGGGATGAGACTCTAAACCAAACTGCAGTAGAATGGCGAAACAACAAAAAGGGCGGAAACAACAGGAAGGAGACAGGAATGTCATTAATGTCAATGAATAAATGAAGCATATGGAAACTGCATTTCAGGCCTGAAGGGCATGTAAAAGAAGTTGATATGGCCAGATGGCTAAGGAGCAAGGAGAGAGCAATTCCAGAAACTGTGAGGGAAATAGAGAACCAGAAAAGAGAATAAAGATCATGAACTTCATACTGAATGGGACAAATCCAAAGGGAATTTAACAGAAGCAGTAGTTTTCAAAAACAAAACCAAAAAGAATCATAGAATCATAGAATGGTTTGGGTTGGAAGGGACCTTAAAGATCATCTAGTTCCAACTCCCCAGTATAAGAAGTGAAAAAACAAGTCGGGAGAGGTTTGAATTGAGCCAGAAAATATGCTTTTCCTACCTAGGGAGAGATTTCCATTCGTGGTGCCCGCATTAGGAGTTCTTGATACTCCACTACTAAGGAGGATCTCCTGCAGACATGGTAATAGGGTCCAGGACCGAAGGCAGGGACCGGCCAGGGAGGAAGGACAGCTTTGGGGTTTAGTTATATGCTTATGATCTTCAGAGCTGGGTTCAGGGCTGGGTTCCTCAGAAACCAAATAAAGTACTTCTCTTTTCTGTGCCTTCATATCCCACTAATAACATTAAGATAAAAATATTCTATCTGTCTCATCTATGAAGACAGATGACTCTTAAGGGCTGACTGATACTTGCATGGATCTGGCTGGCAATGAGGTCCTGATGTAGCTACAGACACTGCTGCAGATCCCAATAAAGCAAATATTAGGGTCCTAGTATTGGAAGGGAGTATAGCATATATGTATTTCTTGATAAATAAGTATAATGCTGAAATTATTCAATTATGTACAATATTTACTCATTGCTTTGGATTTATTCACCTTCCTGTCAGCTGGTTTCAGAAATATAACCTTTAGCAACACCACACAAGGGCTTCACAAGGTGAGAAGGAAATGCTAATTGGTTTTATCCTTTTGTGAAACAATCCATCCAAAGTTAATTAGAATAGGTTTGCTTTTGCTTTGCAAAAATAATCCATAAGAAAGCCTGATAGGCAGAGCAAACTGCATCTTGCACAAAGGTGGTAGGATTTAAGTGATTTTGAGCTACACTCCCAGAACTCAGTTGCCTTCGGGCATCTATCTGGTCTTTCTCTGCGGATGGCATAATCAGGGGTTGAGTGAAAACCCCAGTGGTGAAGCCTGATAAGAAGTTAATCTTCTGGGCACCACGTGGGCCAAGAGAGATGTGCCAAAATGTCCAATTAGCGAAGGCTTCCCATCCTAGGATGTGCCATAGCATTGCTCAGCGCTGATAAACAGCTGCAGTATCCGTTGCTGAGGTGCGTCAGCCCCGCAGCGCACAAGAACCACGCACGTTACAAGGGTAAGGAGCACGGTGCGAGCAAAGGGCATTGCCTCCACCTTGTACCCACTGTGCAAATGGCTTGTACCCACTGTGCAAGCTCCTAACACTTCTCCACACAGCCTTCATACAGCGGGACACGCAAATCCTACAGATTCACCACTAGTAAAAGGAGTCAGCTTCAGCGCTTCCAGCCACACTGGGTGTAGACACAAGCTGAGGCATCTTACCCCTTACCACAGAGACCACTTGTCAATACGATCTGGTCGTAGGTTTCTTGAACCCTCTGACTGAGGCCAAACAAGCAGAGTATGGGTCAAATCCATGTCATCCCAATTTTAGACTGACGCAGCCCAAGACCTACTGGTGGTACAGAACCCAAAGCATTAGACCGATGTACGAGCAAGGTGCAAAAAGGATTATGTTTGATTTCCCACCATCTGTAAAGAAGAGAGGAGAAAGTTCTTGGCTGTTGGAAAAGCACTACAGATGTGGAAAAGAGAGTGCTCAGCACCTATTCTTTGCAAGCCAGAGACCCTTTCTTTTACAGAAGGAAAGCACTTCCTTAATAGCCAAAGGAATGCTGAGGTCCAGCATCCATGGACCCAACAAACTTCCCTGTCCACCTAGGGATATTTAAGAGCAAATCCCAGTGGCAGGAGGGATGCAGGACACGGAAACTGCTCCTGAAGAATCTGACTGGTGTCTCCAGAGCAAGTAACTGTGGTGTGAGAAGAATGGAAGGAGTTAATAGACATTGAAATTGTTTTATTAAATCGGTTTGCCAGAATTTACTTACTATTAAGCCTCATTAGTTGGAGACTGTCCTTGTACTCCATGTTCTTACCCAGTTGCTGCCTGCTGAATATACGGAGGGATGCTGGAGGGATTATTTCTAAGCCCTTCCCCCTTCCCTCTCCCCTCCTCTTCCAGGACCACACTGACAGTCCCGAGGGAAACAGAGGAGAGACAGGGAGAGGGCAGGATCCACTAGCTCTCACTCAGCATATTTCACCAGGAAGCCCCAGGAGTCCAGAAAAGGAGCTGCCACTTAGGACTCTGCCTCCTTTGCAAAGGATCTATCAGTACAACAATATAGTACATGAACACATACAAGGATTTTCCCCACTGGAAAGGAGAGAAAGAGGAAAGAGACTGCTATCTCCAGAGTGATTTTTCATGCAATCAATACTGTAAAATATCCCCTGGTCCTCCTGCCGGATCGTAACTCAGAGGAGAGCTGATCAGTTTGCAGCATGTGTACTTCACCTGCGGGGAAGCTGGGCACCGGGCAGCAACCCGCGGCGTGGTGGTAAGTAACTTCGGGGAAGTTCCCTGCAATTTTGCAGTTCACTGCCTTGGGGTAGTAATGCCTTTGAATCTAGCGATTATGAATGAAACCGGACATTTGTTCCTGAAAGGGAGAAGTGAAGGGGGGTGGGGTGGGGAATCTTTCAATTGCTTCCTCCCCCCTAAGCTGGTAAAATACTTCACTTGCTGTCCGTGTAACAAAGTTTTCTCCAGGATGGGCAAATGCCCCCTGTATCTTCCCAGTAAGTTGCAGTGCCGTGAGACCAGACTGGTAAGAACAGTCCTCATTCACACAGCACTTCAGCTCTAAGGCGTGTTACGAGCATCTACCAGCTAATCCTTGCGGTACCCCTGCCAGGCAGGCAAGCGGGCGGGCAGTGAAAGGAGAGGACTTGCAGTCTGAGCATCTGAGTTAAAGCAATTAGGAACCTCGCATCCAGCTGATGGCAGGTCACTGGCCACTCTAATGATTATGGAGCAGCTTAGCTGAGCTAGCGTGTGTTTCAGGGTTTATAGAAACAGGAAAGCCAAGTGACAAGCACCAGAGAATACAAGAAGCTAATGACCGCTGTGCGCTGGGAGAAGAGACCAGTCTGCTCGCATTTGGATTTGCAGGCGTCCGACCCTTTGCGATAACTGTGAATGAGGCTTTTGCTCTCCCCTGTCTGTGTTGCCAGACAACCAATGAGGCTGCAGAGCAAATCGGCTTCCCAGGCTGCAGATTGCAGGGAGAGGCATAGAGGTGACTTTTACTTACAAACCAGGCACTCATTAATTTTGTAATTTAGGAAAGTAGCCTGAACCACCTTTTCTCTTGCAATAACCTCTACTATGTTTTCTCCTCCTTCCTGTATCTTTCGGCTGACAGATAACCCTGCTCTGATGCCATTTCGGATGTCCCAGTGAGAACTCTTAGAGATGCCTATTCTCTCTGGAGGCAGTGACCAAGACTATAGTAACATTAGCTACAATTCTTGCAATTCCTTGAGCCACTTCTTTCCTGTCTCCGTTGAAACCCCTTCTGTCAAAGGGGTCCATTACCAAAGAGCCAGAAGGATTTACCACCCTGATCAAGTCTCTGCAGTCGATCTAAAGACAGAGATCATGATAAATGTCGGAGGCATCAAGTACCTGCTACCCTGGAGCACTTTAGATCAATTTCCCCTGACCAGACTGAGCAAACTTAAGTTTTGCAGCAGCTATGAAGAAATAATTCAGCTGTGTGACGATTACGATGAAGACACCCATGAGTTCTTCTTTGACAGGAACCCCAGTGCTTTTGGGATGATTGTCAGCTTTCTAGCAGCAGGGAAGCTGATGCTCTTAAGAGACATGTGTGCCTTGTCTTTTCAGGAGGAGCTGAGATACTGGGGCATTGAGGAATCCAACCTGGAGAACTGCTGCTTTCGGAAACTATTTCAGAAACTGCAAGAGTTGGCTGAGGTACGCAAAGAAGAGGAGCTCCGCAGGAGCAAAGAAGCTACGTGTGTCTTGGACGAGAAAACCAAATTTGGACAGTTTATGAACAGGCTCAGAGACATGGTAGAAAACCCCCAGTCAGGACTCCCGGGCAAAGTCTTTGCTTGTCTCTCCATCCTCTTTGTGGCCACCACAGCTATAAGCCTTTGTGTTAGCACAATGCCAGACTTAAGAGCCGAAGAAGACAGGGTAAGTAACTCTTTTTTAACTGGTCTAACTACAGAATTAAAAGAAAATTGTCTGTCTTGCTAGGCATTAATCATTTCAAAGATAAAAAAGATACAGAAAATCCACAGCGATGAGGTTCAAAACTGTTGCTGGCAACGAAACGGTCTGTAACAAAAAATGCAAGAATGGCTTAAAGTACTTCTAACAGTTTCAAAATGATATTCAACTGAGAATAACGGGAACAAAGTATTTTACTAATTGTCAGCAAAAATACAGAAAGAGCTTCTGGACGGACAAGATACTGCAGCCCTCAAATACAGCATTGCTTTTCCTTCTTAAGAAGTAGCTGATAGTTTAAGTTACATGAACTTGTTAGCACTGGGACTCTCAGACGCAGCGTGGAGTTTTCTCTTCAACGTGCTTTACTCTCCAGTTCTAAGCAGTCTCTTGTTTGGAAAGAGAGAAATATTTTCCTCTGACATTTTTACTTTTAAAATAGCCAGGTATCTTCCCTTGTGATAACTCAGTCAAATCTTTAAAGAGGAAGAAATATTCAGTAATTTTTCCTCCAAAATATTGTTACATTTCAATACTTGTGTAAAGATTACAGGATGAGAGAGGGATGAAGTGTTTTGCAGATACTGATACTTAAAGCTGCGCCTCCAAAATTCCATGCTGACAGAATTCTGTATTTGCCCACATATATATGCACATATTGTAGGAATAATGCCAAATACTAGCTGAACTGCTAACTGCATTTAAACCTTTTTCAAGTAAGTCATCCACATTAATTCAGGGCAAATAAATCAAGCCTGCATCATACATGAAGGATCTTCTATATAACGTTGTGAATAATTAAGCGTTTTAAAGATTTGTTATTCTAATAACAAAAGAGGAAAATATCAATCCAAAGTTATTTTAGATGTAGTAATGTCCAAATTCATCAAATAACCTTCAGTAATCTCTTTAATGAATCCTGCACTTCATTTGCAAACTGCTCTTCCAAAAGCGTTGAGGAAAGGCAGGTCAAATAAACTCCGTGCCCAAACCACTGCTGTGAGATAAGGCACTCCTCAGGGTACTGTATATTGATGAACAAAGCCATTTCTAAATTTATAGCACAGCATGGCGTGCACAACTCAAAAATCTGGATGTATTTTACTGCTCAAGTAGTAATTTAAAGCAGCACAGTGATGGTGAAGGTACGTCATGATATTTGATGTCTTTGAATAAAACCAAGGGCTGCACAGAAGCCTGAAATTTAAGACCATTCCCCGTTCCATTTAACCCCTTGAATGTTAATTTACATTTGCATAGGAAGACTCGTACCTTTCAGTAATAAGTCTGGTGCTCTTGCAGCCTTCCACAGTTATTACATTTTGCAGAAAAAACTGTAACACTGTTCCAGTGCTTCTTCCAAGGAAGTGCTTTAAATATAGACCATCCTTCTTAACAGCTAGCTGTAAAAACACTGCAAACTGCTCTAGCAAGTGCTTCCTACTAACTTTCTTAATGGAAATAGCCCAATGCATTTTATCTTAATCTCCCAACCACTGCAGAAAAAGCTTTTCTAAATACTTTTTCATGCAAAAGAACAAGCACAGAATGTTTCAGAGCTCAGCTAGATGTAACACGCTGTGTGTTTTAAAAATAATTAACCGTATGTTAGAAAGGGAAGCATGTTTGAGGGTTATATCTGGTAGCTGCAGTGGAGCTGCTGTTCCTAGATTTCCTATAAAACACAGATGACATTACTACTTAGAGATTTGCATATTAGAACTACTTTAGAACCAAGCAAGCTGGATCGGAACAAGCTCAAAAGCAGGAACGTTTAAAGTACAGAGGAGAGGATGAATAACGAACTTGAGCAAAGGACCATATTTGTACTAATATTGGGAAACATGACATAATTTACACTTACAGCACCAGCCTAATGCACTTTGTCACTGTGTCCCAGAAGCATAGAACAGAGTATTGAAAGTCCTATTATTTGAACCACATAAAATGATGCCACAGAGCACATAGGGGTATATATGAGACAAAATGCTCATGCCTTGTGGAAAAGAAGAGAATATGAACTAGTAAATAGTAGTTTTTCCATCCCTAAATTCTTAGTCTGCAACACCGGAGATTTTATTACTGGGATCTTGAAAGAACATTTTAGGTAGAACTGGACAAATAACTCTGAGAACTTAATTGACTAAAAATACTACTTCTTGATTGTAGCTGAGTCATACCCAGGCAAACTGCAGCTCTATGTTAATTTGTAACGTCAAATTGTTCACTGCCTGACCTCTGGAAGTCATTCCAAAACGTGTCCACATTCACCAGCAACCTGGAACAGGCGTGCAGAATCTGAAATTTTTGCTTTTTGGGCTGAACATAAAGATCACATGATATCTGTTTGCTCAGTGACAAAAGTTGGTCCAAATTCCTTTAATAAAGTTTCTGAACAACCTGTAATTCCACATGTGAATTCAAATATGCCCTATCCTGAGGCTTATTCACTTCTGAGTTAAAGCTTTGCAAAACCTCTATGCGTAAATGTGCTCACAAGTATTGCCAGGATCTATTTTCCGATGTCACTAACACTGGAAATTAAATTTATCCATTCTGAAATACAAATAAAAAAGGCTTTACCTCTGTGGCATATGTACCACTCTAGGTTCCTTTTTCTCATCATCACAGCCACATTAAGAGAGTGAGAACTGGCTGGACTCCAGCTCAAGGAGAAGGATCAGAGTAAAAAATAAAGGAAAAATAATACAAGGTGACTTCCACTTCACTCAGAGGCTTGGCTGATCCCACCATGCAGGCACATGAAATCACTTCTCCTTTTGGCAGTTGCTAAACCAGGTCTGCTTAGAAGGCAGAATAGCTGCCTGAGCAGGCAGAAGAGCAAACAGAAGTCCTTACCGTCCGAGGGAAAGTGAAAACTCCCGTCTCTGGGAGAGGGATGGGCAAGGAGCCAAGGCAGCAGCATCCGCATCAGGGAAGCCCAGTCACCCTGGCAACCAGAGGGGAGGGAAGGAGCCATCTCCATGGGCAGCAGGAAAGGGAAGGGAGGGTAAACGTCAGGATAGGAATGCAACCGAAAGTAGAACAAAGACTGAGTTGTTGTCATTGATGCCATGCACATACCCTAGAATATATCACATGACATTTAGCAACCTCCTCATTAGAGAGATGAAAGAAAAACACAGTTAGATGGGCAAACAATTCTCTAACTGTATCACATAAGCACCTGCCATGAATCCCAACCCAGGGGAAACAGCCCCAGGTGAATAAGGCCAAAAGTTCAGGAAAACTGTAGAGCAGCAAAGGTATAGCTCCAGTGATCTCAAGTTTAAGCCTGGCCATGAAACAGATATACAAAAGGATTTATCACACATGATGCTAAGGGAAGAGGACTCAGTAATAAATTCTGTTACTTGGGCATAAAACAACTGAAATGTCACATCCTCCAATGGCAATACATCCTTACCTAGGATATTTGCATCTGTTCTTTATGGAGACCAAACTGTCTTCAGTAGGAAAGCAAATAGAGTATCACCAAAATGTAGTAATCAAGGCACATGCATGTAAAGACAGAAAAAAAGGCACGTTTGGAGGTGAGGAACTCTGTTTATTATTGATCTGAATGGGGAGCCTGAGGGAACTATGAACTGACTCAAAGACCATAGATATAGGATAAGAAAGCTGAAGTGACAAAATCTACCAGTATTTCCCTCAAACGAAGGAATTAAGAGCATCCCACTAAAGATAAGGCAAAAGTCCCCTAAAAGTCTCAGTCCCACATAAGCATTGCAGCCAGGATCCAAGAGGTGTAACTGAAATAGTCACTGCTCAGCACATCTACCCAAAGGAAAAAACATAATTATACCAGAGAACTACAGAATAAAACCCTCGCAGAAGAGCTCGGGCAGGGAGACTGCTTTGAAGTCCTCTTGGGATTTTCTTTAGGAAGAAATAGTTTTTAATGAGTCCCTAAAATTGGCATCCTCTAGAGAAATGACTCAGCAGAACGGATACAGCAAGGTCTTTTCTTCAGGAAGGCAGCGAGTTACGGTTGCGGGAAAATTAAAAAGGAACCCCCAGACATCCCCATTCCCTGTCCCTTAGCACCAGTAACAAACAAATCGTTTTCTCCCAGTGTGGACAGCTCTACAAATACCTGAAGCGTGGTTTAAGAGAGAAGGAAATGCCTGTTCTCCCTCTCTTTGGTGACTAGTGAGTGGTCAGATCTTGTTATCACTAATTTTTGTGTTTGCTCTTAGCTGACCTTGAGAGGCTTGCAACTGCTTTATGTATTCTATATAGCCGACATAAGCTGCAGCCAGTACTGTCAGATCTAATGGTTATCTTGAAACTCAGAATATTCTTTTTTCTTTAAAGTTCCCATTCCTGTGCTCACTTGATTATATGAAAATCTAATTCCTTTTGAAAGAGTAAGTTTTTAGTCTCTGGTTGCACTGAGAATCCAGAACAGAAGAAAAGAACCCAGTACCTAACATATAGAACCATTTTAAATTTTTTTTCATCCTACATCATTATTCTGGAGGTCCTGACATGTTTTTCAATGTTTGATGTTGCCAATGCTGTCTGTCTGATACTAAAACCAGCCTATTTGGTTGTACACTAGAGGAAACTGCTGAGAAACACAGTGGAGTAATTTTAATTTATAGGGGAAGAAAAAATTATTGATCTTACAGTGAAGAGAAAGAAAATCAGACAAGGTATTTGTTTCACAGGGTTACCCCTGCCACAGCTAAATGTGTTAATTATAAAATTCACATGGACTTGTATCTAGCCAGTTCAGTGTGTTAAGATACGCTTCCAAGGGCTATATCCTCACTCTTCAGGCTATTAAACCCATTGCAAAGACAAACATAAAGCTCCAACCTTGCCCATAACCTTCAGATAGCATTTAAGCACCTCCAGTGCACTTATCAGGGGAAACTCGAAGAACTTGGGAGCGACTGGAGGAGATGACAATCCCTACAGTGCCCCTGAGAGGTGTG